CGAAGCAACTGTGAGCAGAATTATTTTGGTGAGATAGGAAGGAAAACCAGCCTACGAATCAAGGAACATCAAGGACGCTGCAAGAGCATGGATATATAAAGATCAGAAAAAACTTACCAGTACAGAACTGTTCAGCAGAATGTTGGGCAAAGGATGGACTCTTTGATGAATTATAGTGTTGTGGCAAGCCTGAGGATGCCGGCAAAACGTCTGAGAATGTATTAAGTTCACGGTGCGGCACCGGAAATGATCATATATATTATGGCAGAGGAATACGGACAAGGCGTATTCATCTAAGCCTCTCCAACAATACAACCAAGTTGCGAAAACAAGGTCAAACCCGTTTTATACCCAAAACCTTAAACTTTAATCAAAAGACGGTGTTCAAGAAAAAGACGATATTCAAACACTGCCTTGTTGAAAGGACAATTGACTGTGAAGAAAAGTCATTCACAATCATCGATATGTTTGGAGCTATAATAACTATTCATAGAGAAAAACATTTGTGCAACATATTTACGTCTCGAGCGGATGGCTTTTGGAAAACCAAAAAGGAAGATGCTGATCAATGGGAAAGTACCTGAAGCACCAAGATTCTTCATGGCGTTTAGATGCTGTCTGAAGCTGTCTGCCGGATGACTCAGACCCACTAGTTTTCCGGTCACTATGCCCTGCCTCGTTGCTCGGCAAATGAGAACCTCTATTTGTTGAGGTAGTGCTGTGCAAAAACGCTTCGGTTGTGCCAGCAGAGAGTGTAGTCGTGACACTGTCAGTAGATGCCGCAATCAACTCTGAAGAACTACAAACTGCCGTAACAGTCTTTGATGGAGTGTTAACGCCAGTCATTCTACGCTCGGTAAGATTTGAAACGGTCAAGGCAGGCCCGATATCTTTTGAGTGGCTGAAACCTGAAGGTGTAGAATGTATGAGCGCCTCGCTCGGTCTTCCTCCTGAGCCAATGGAGGCGGAAGGACCGGAATTTGATGCGGTTACAGAAGCCGAGGCAGAGGAGGTCCCTAAGTGACCAAAACAGTTTGGAGCACCGCATTTGCAGTCTAAGCACTCTTGGCCAAGAGACATAAAATTGTAATTAAAGGTCAGCTCTTCGCCAGCCTCGATTTCACTATGGTTGAAATAGTAGGGAATGAGGGCAAACAAAAGAAGAATAAATGAATATGGTGGTCAAATAACCTTCGGAAAGATTTTATCTGTAGTGGGTATGAAAGTTTATCCCAGAACACTTGTTATAAAATAAGTTATGCAATGTAGTCAAGTGCGAATTTAAAAAATCTCGATAATACATATTTAGTTGACATCAAAAGATGTAGTATTACAATGCAACTTTCAATTGAATTTTCATTCAAGAACGACAGAAATTATTGAATCAGAAGAATTTTTTTATTAAAATTAAGAATATGAAAACAAGTAAGCACACATTTCTCATGTGGAAAAAATCAGCTGCCTAAGGTACTTTGATACAAAAGTAAGGATGGCAGATGAGATTGCCAATACAGAAGATCAGGTAGAATAATAAGAGAAGCTGGGTTTCGAAGAATCCCTTAATAGATTGATACTGGTGTACCTTTTATTTCGTTTGAGAAGACCGGTCAAAGGGATTCGTAAATTGGCCCCACCGGATAATGCAGGATTGGCTTGAACTTTTGCCTGCTGAATGATGCGCAAAAGACATCGACTAACCGTCTTACGACCACGATGACTTCGTGAAGGGGTTTCGTCCGACATGTTACGGATATCGTCAGAGCCAGAAACCATTATTCACGAAAATCCGAAGTCGTCTGTCATAGTAGTTATCATGCTTCCCAGCATCGGACAGTGGAGTTGGTACATTCTCAAACGTTTCGCCGGCATCATAGTCGGCATCATCAGTAGGTTTTGCCATTCTCCGCACCAACTTACGAACTCGTAAAAGAGACAAGTGAAGTCAATCTCTCGACAAACGTTCTGCAGAAAACGGTTACACTATCACTTCTCTTTCTGTCCTGACCCATCTACTCTTTACCCTCTAATCCTACTGCCGCCCTATCACAACTTCTCACTTGTTTACATTCAACGTCAAAATGTGTACCCTTTTGTGGCAAACCAAGTGTGGCCTCATCCCACTTGCTATTTACCCCGACCCCTCTCCTTCGATGAGCTTATCCGAC